GGGGGGTTAGGATATGTGAAACGGCTCATGGAAAAAAACATCTCTTTTGGTGCATTTTTTCATAGCAGTTTACAGCAATTTTAACTGTAATTGAAGAGGAACTGCTAATTGGGGAGGATGTTGGAGATGAAGGACGAACTAACGAACTAACGTTAATACTTGGAGTACTCAAGTATTTAAACTGATACTTTACTTGCAGTAGTCGGGTTGGGAAATTAACTGGCCACCTTTGTGTGAAGTTTAAAACACATCCTAGTCAGCAGTAGTCGGGTTGGGAAATTAACTGGCCACCTTTGTGTGAAGTTTAAAACACATCCTAGTCAGCATTTCTAAATTTGCACATCGTGATAGATAACACTACATTCTAAGACCATGGTTTGTTTGGAAAATTAACTGGCCACCTTTGCCTCTGTGAACTTTAAGTCCTAGTTATTATTTCTGTGCACAGTCATCTACATTTCAGTCATACATTACATTTTAGCAATGAATGCATTACATTCTAGTTCAGTCCTAATTCATGCCTTCCTAAACTCTTGATTGTACCATGCCTTTGTGATCAAAGAAGAAATGTAGCTTGTTGCCTTCAAAATAAAAAAAGAGAAGAAACTGAAAAAGAAGATAAAATTCAAACCACCACACTGTGATAGGTTCACATCATGTCTTGCACTGTATTAGCTTGTCAGCGTTTTCCCAGATAGACACACAACCGCTTAGATGTCGCCTTTTAAACCAGCCACATAACTGGATGTCTGGAGCGCAAGCCGGTTAATTGTGAGTTTACATAAAGCTGTTCCTGTATGTATGTTTACCTTACTTGTATTCCTCTATGGATTATTGGTCTTTTCTGTGGTTGAAAAAAAAAAATGAGCAGAAATAAAATGAGGGAAGTGCAAGAGGAAAGAGCATTTGTAACACCATCAAGGAGGATCAGCTAACACCCCAAGAAATTCAGCATTTGCACAGCTCGCTAAGCCGACCCATTGTCAGGCCTGACAGGTCAAGCTATGTTCTAACCAAGGTCAGTCATTAGTTCGCTAATTTTAACCTTGGTCCCCTGTATCATCTGCACCTGGATGGAAAGAGTCATCTGCAATTATTGCTCCCTTTCAGCCTCCCAACAGAAGAGTTGGGAGGCTGGAGTGGTTAGAAAAACGGGCCCATTCTAGCTGCATCCCTTTTTCTCCTATTTCTATTCCCCCCCCCCCCCCCATATACATACTCCTCCAAGGGGAGTGGGGAGGGGAATGCCTTTCCCCCATCCCATGCATTGGTGGATCTGATCCGATTTGGGCCACTGCTGTTTTTTCATTTTAGTTTTGCAGCAGACCTTTAAAAAAGAAAAAAAGACAGCTACTGAAAAAGCGGGTGAGGCGCTGGCCACCCTTTGCTGCTAACAGGAAACTGAGCTGGTCCCAGTTTGCTGTGTCATCTACGTCTCTATTTTACCCATAGCTATGGCTGGACGAGGCTTAGTCCCTTGGGCAAATCTTTGTTCCTCAAATGCCCCTGGCAAAGATGATCAAAACGTTGCAAACCCTTACTCTGGACCTCACCCGTTTTGCCCGTTGTATCCTTTTCTCCTAACCGAAGCAAGGAACCAAATGATGTTTACAGCCTTTTTTTCCCCCTTGGGCGGCTCTGGTTTCCCTCCACGTGTTTGCCTCTTTGCTTCGTTGTACAAAAGAAAGTGCAGAGTCATCTCACACAGCAGAGGTTCTCTCTCTCTCTCTCTCCCCCCCCCACCCCCAGCATGTTAAAGACCCTCTGTGTTCACAGGGCACCTTTGTCCCACGAGCAACCTTGCTTCGTTTTGGCGCTGCAGAAGGGGACCGCAGAGCAAAACGGGTGGGCCTGTTCCAGTGCAAGGGCGGGAGCAACGTTTTGCAGACATGGTGCCCGGCGAAAGAGAAACCTGCAGCCTTATCCAGGTTTATCCAGTGAAAACGGCCGCGTGGATTGGGGCGAACCGGATTCTGTTCCGTCCCGTTCGTTTCAGCACATCGGCTTAAATCAGAGCGCCCTAAGGGGGTGGCAGCCTGAAGGAAGACCTGAGTTCGTGCTGGGAACAGCAACCTGGCAAATGCCATGCGGAAATGTTTAGAGGTTCCCGTAGCACCCAGCAGTTTGCAACGTTTTCCTGGCTAATCTATGTTCCTATCCCTTCCGGTCCCTTTTGCCTCGTCTCCCTGACGTGCCTTTATTTTTATCTGTTGCTGCCACGCCTCGAAGATTATTCAGTCCCAGTTGCATTTCCAAATGCAGGTGGGCCGAGCGATTTATTTCATAGCATCTTTGGAAACAACCCCCCACCCACCCCAGTCCTACACCGGAAAACCCTTTCTCGGGAGGGAGGGAGGGAGCTGTGTTTGATCCTAACAATGCTTCAAGCGGCGAGACACCTTTCCCTTCCTTGGCCTCTCAGCTCTGGATGCTGCGAAATCTCCGTTTGCATCACGTGCTCAGCATCTCTCTCATGGACTGATTCCTGCTCTCGTTTGCAAGATATCCACACTGTTCTACAAGCATGCACCTTTATGTATAGTTTCAATCTGATTTTATGGAACTAAAGGAAGACAATACTTATGCCTGTTCGCATTGCAATCGATTAAAAAAGAATAATAATAATAATAATAATAATAATAATAATAATAATAATAAATTCAATGCCTTGTGCTTGTCCTGCCTTGTGTTTTAGAGCTGCTGTAGAATTCATTCGTTGGAATTGTGCTTTAGGAGTGCCGGTGTTGCGCTAACAGCCCTTGATGTCGCCGCAGACAGCCCCCCACCCCTCATAGGGTCCCCTTAAGCCTTAATCTGGTTGATATGCTTTTGGTTTAGCATGGGAGGGGTGGAATCTAGCCCCTGTGGTTTGTACACTCTGATCGTAGTTTTGCATCATGTACCCACAGTTGTGGGATAGCTGACAAACCATGGTTAAACTGATGATGGCTTAGTGCAGTATAGGAACAATTCTGTAAGGGTATCTTAAACTGCGCAGCCAACAAGTACAGATGTTAAATCCTGCCCTGGTTGCTTGTGCTTATTAAGCTCAGTTCAAGGCACCCCAGTGCCTTTCACAGTGTTTTAAGGAGAGCGATTTTCCCCCTCCAGCCTCCCTGCATTGCATAATGAAAAACGGGACGGTCACAGAGATCCTTGGCTACCGGATTGCAAAGGCAAATGCCAGATCCCCACATTCTTCCTACACTTTCCCCACCTCCAAGCTAACCCCTCTCCTCCCTCCCCCTGCAAAAACCCCAAGAAGCCATATTTTCCCCCATTTTTGAGTTAGAAGTCCAAGGTGGGCAGAGGGAACAGTGAAGAAATCCGAGTCTTGGCCCTCCCAGGATGCCAGAAAGTCGCTGGGCACAGCTGGATGAGATTTGCGCATGAAATGGATCAAAGCGGCTGAGATGCCGAACGCACGTCGACAAGAAAGCCCGTGGCTCTTCCGATTCAGTTATTTCGGCCAGAAAGCCAGTGGGACAACAGATATACACACAAACGTGCATGTGTGTAATACATACACACACAGAGTGTGTGATATATAGCAAGAAAGGGGAGGGACTGTTGAAAAATCCTGCTTTATGTTTATACTCTAAGCCAGTGTTTCTCAAACTTGGCGACTTTAAGATGTGTGGACTTCAATTCCCAGAATTCCCCAGCCAACCATAATTGCTCTAAGCCATAATATGGTTGGTTGGTTGGTTGGTTGGTTGGTTGGTTGGTTGGTTTGGGTTTAACATGTTCTAAACCAGCTGTCCTGGTTTGGAGCCTTGGTGGTTCTTATTCAAGGACCCATGTGGATTCAGGCAATACATGAATCCTTAAGGGAAAAAAATGAAGGAATCAATGGAAAACTCAGGACAAAAGGTGGGGTGTCCCGGAGATGCTGGATATGGGATGCCAAAGGCAACTGCTGCTGCTTAGCCGTCCTTGCAGTTAGAAAAGTAGCATTTCAGGAAGGTCCATTTTCTCCCCGATATGCTATTTTCCTATATGCAGGGATCACTTTATATTGATTATTTTGAACAGGAACAGCTTGGAGTCAAGGTACAAGGAACTATGTGATGGTGGGAGAACTGGGCTGCAGTTTATTCCATAAACCATGGCTTCGCACAATGGCCTCAAATCATAAACCAGGTGGGCAGACTGTAACGTCCAGATTCACACATTGCACTAAAGTATAAAGTGGTTCATACAGTCTGGAACAGCATGCTGTGTGAGTCTAGTCACTGTGATTTGTAAGTCACAGTTTATGGCAGTGTTTTCAAACTGGGCGACTTTAAGATGGGCGGGCGACAACTCCCAGAATTGCCCAGCCACCCATCTTAAAGTTGCCCAGTTAGAAAAACACTGGTTTATGGCTTACTGCCCCATTGACATCATGGCTTGGTTAACCATGAATCAACCAGGATTGCATTACACACAGCAACACGCTAACTACAAAGCAGTCGACCCCATTTGGGATTAGCGCAACCCGCCAACTGTGCCGCTACAATTACTCAAGAGTCACTGGGAGTTGGGCAGCATGTACATTATCAATATAAATCAGTGTTTCTCAATCTCAGCGCCTTTAAGATGTGTGGACTTCAGCTCCCAGAATGCCCCAGCCAGCATGGCTGGCTAGGGCATT